CACCTGAGTTTCAGAGCAAACCCATTCCTTGGGTGCTACCTAATCCCCTTGAACATTGGAGTCACCTCAGAGCCCTTTTCTGGTGCTAGATGGAGCCACCCACAGAGGTCCTTACTCAGTCTTGGGCCCTGGCAGGGTTGCATGGGAGTAGGAGATGTTCAACTCTCCGAGCCAGTTATGGGTGACTGATTTAAGCTGCAAGTGTGAAATGAAGGCTGTTTAATCAGTGAACAGTTGGCATTTTTTGAACAACATCCATTTTTTATATTAAACTGCCTTAAATTACTTAATACCCCATACACCCTTTCAAAAGTAAACCAGTGCACAGGAAGATGTTTGTCATATACTTCCTGTGTTGCTCCTCAGTTGGAAGCAAATGAGGGCCTAGAAGCTATGTCACAGATTGCTTTGGACTTCTGCCTGTCACAGCCTCTTTGAACCCATGCGTGATATGGCGTCAGATACTTGGGGACTTTGGGGGTATGGTCAAAGTTGCTTCTAAACTTGAGTAAAAGAAAAACAGAAAGCTCTATGGTGAAATAGTCTGTTTTGGCCAGGAAAGATGGCACAAATGGAGGAAAACCTTGCCATTGGTCAGCAGAGCACCCTAAAGCCCAAGCTTGGAGGGCACCTTCTCTGCAGTCCTCATGACTGAGGTATCTTAGTGCTCACGCTTCAATGCCTTACTGCCCTTTCACTCCCGAGAGAATTCCATACAGTATTACACTCGACTTTTCTGCCAATGTCATGAGGCAGGACAGTTACCCCACTTTATTAGGAGATAAGCGGGGGACAGGTGGCTCAGCAGTTGACGAACTGGGGTCTCAGAGGCTGTGGTACCAGAACAACAGAGGGGGAAGCTGACCCCACATATTCCCACTTGGTTTGGGCAGCACCCCCAGTGCCAACATGGAACCTTGGATGGATGCTGCCCATGTGGAACCTGCCTTTTCTCAGAATGTTTTCAGTGTTTAAAGCTCTCTGATTTTGCAACTTGTATCAACTATGGCAAAACAAACTCAACTGGGTGTGAAATATTTCATTCATAAAAATTCTGTCTGTTCTAAGTTGTTCATAGTAAACTGTCTTGTACACTCTCGCGTTCACCATTCCCCATCACTGAGCCCCTTGTGTATGTGTGCACTGTACCAGGGCTTAACACAAACCTTCTTATGGAGGATGGAGCAGCCTGGTCCCTTTAGCAGATACAAAACATGAGGCTTCTATTAGGGTGGAATTGATCCCACACCAATGCCTCTATAAGAGACACTGTGCTTTGACAATTTGAATGCCTTATGGGGGACTTGAGCCACTACACTATCCCTTAGATCCCATAGATGACAACCCCTTGGACTAATTGGCATGGCACTGTGAAGTGAGAGGCAGGCTAGCTATGTGATCACCCAAGAACCGAAGAAGTGTAGCTCCTGGGAGGTGTCAGCATGCAGGGCATCCAGCCCAGCCCAGGCTTGGGTGAGTTTAGAGTGGCTCTGCGTGCCATTTCAGAAGGCAGGGGCCCACCAGCAAAGCAAAAGTATATTAATTTTGAGTCTGACCAGCATAGAAAGAAAGGTGATCTTCAGCCCAGCAATTGAGATACTTGCAAGGAAGGTCCAATAATGAGAGTCATTTGACCTGGCATGGCTTATGGCCAGGGATAGGGGTTATGTGGGGTAGGATGATGACTGGTCTCCCCTGTAGCCCTTTATGTCTGGGCCAACAGGACCTGCCCAAGCTGGAAGGTGGGGCTCTGGGGGTGGCAGCTGAAAACTCTAGACCCTGAAAGATCCTCAGGAAGTGCTTCCACCCACTCTGCATCCCCAGACCTCTCCTTGTATCTACCCACCCTTCTCAGTCAGTCCCTCCTGCTGACCCAGTTTTCACCCTGGGGAAACAGACACATAAAAAAGAACTGTGTCCTCACCTAGCTGTGTCCTCCCCTGCCACTCATGCCTCCCCTGGAGTTTAGGAACAGGACTGCATTGCATTCTCCTGGTGCTGATTGAATTCCTCCCTTCTGGGCAGCTTCATGTGCCGCTGGCACAAACTGGGGAAAGGAGCAGAAAGGGTTTTAAATAGCACACAACTGGCCGATTTGCACTGCTGACATTGGCCGGCTGTTATAAACAAAAAATCCAAGTGATGCAATTTGTTGCAACTACCTTTGGCATGGGATTGGGTGTGGGTTTACATTTTTAAGAGCACACATGCTCCATTAGTGGAATGGAAATAAATCTACCTACCAAGTGCCAACTCTCTGTTGTGTGATTTGGGACCATTGCAGGGTATGGTTGCAATTCAAACTGCAATTTTACTTTGGTGTCCAAATAAAATGTAGTTGTCATCCATTCCTGGCCTAGGCAGGTGACTTGTGGGCATTGGGGGCTGTTGGAATCGGCAGTTTCTAGGAACTGGAAGCTGAGACTACCATAAAAGGAAGCCACTTCCGAGGGCTATATTTACGGACATGTTAGTTTCTAGAAACGGCCACCACAGGCCACAGTCCTGGATTGCAAATAAATATTTTAAACTTATATCACTCATGGATAGGCCCTTCTGGGACTTTTGAGAGGCTAACATTATGAAACCAGGGCTTTTATTTACAAAGAACATTCTTAGGTCCTAGGTCTGTTACAGCCAGGACAGAAGAGCTAACTGACCTGGACCCTGGCTATCCACTAGCTTCACTACTAGTAGATGAAGAACTTGGCTCTGTGCCTCAATCAGATAATAAATATGCAGATCACGGACCTTCTAGGTGGCCTGAGAATGAATGAGGTGTCCCTTTGCACAAATGCCAGGGATCTACAATATGAAAACCGAGTCATTTCATCTGTGGACACTCTTGTTTCCCTTGCCTTGAGGGAAAGAAATAGACCTTATCAGCCAGGCATGGTGATAATCCCAGCACTCAGGAGGCTGAGGCAGGAGGATCACTGTGAGTTTGAGATCAGCCTGGGCTACATAGTGAGTTCCAGGTCAGTCTCAACTACATAGTGAGACCCTGTCTAAAAAAAACCCAAAACAAAAAAAGAAACAGACCTTATCAGAATGCTCTAGAACTGGCTAATTTTTGTATTTGAGGACCCTTTAGACATTAGCATTTCATAGCAATTGTCTTTCTTTTTAAGGCCAAGAAGACAGATCTTGGATGAGGAAAGTACCAGCACATGAAAGGACTTTTTGTCCAAAATTATATTATTAGTTGAATCTGAAATTAGAGGCCAGGATTGCTATTGCCTAGTTCCAGGGTTCTTTACATCTTGCTGCCTCTCTGTTACCTGTTTCTAATTTTTCCCATCCTCTCTCCTGGAGAAGTAAGCCAGAGGAAACCACCTGTCATAGGTATGTGCCTGAAATGCCACCATTAGAACCTGATGCGCAAATGTGAATTAATAGTGCAGGTGCTTCTGAAAGGAAGGTATTTCTAACTCAGGGATTTTCCACTGAGGGCCAAATAAGAAGTATTTTAGGTTTTGCATGCCATACAGTCTCTGTGGCAACTGCCCACTTAACTCTGCTTTTCAGTACAAAAGTGGCTGTATGCTATATAATAAATAAATCATTTCTGGAAACCATATATTAATTTTTTAAGATTTCACATGTCACAAAACTTTTTTTTTTGAGCATTTATAAATGAGAAACTGATTCTTACTTCACAGGCCATACACAAACAGGCTTAGGCCAGAATTGGCTAGCAGCTGTAGTTTACTGCCCTTTGCTTTAAGGTGTCTTCTGTCAGTGGTTTGTGAGTAAAGTTCTGATGGAAAGGATGGATGGGGAAATTGAGCATTCAGGAAACCACCGGTCACCCCAGACAAGTCCCCTAAGTCCTTTCAAAAGGCAGCAGCTGTCTGCTGGGCTGTCTGTGCAGCCACTGCATTTGGGGCACGCTTGATACCCATTCAGGCCACATAAGAGCTGTGGCTTTTACACTGGCAGCTACAGGCCAGCTGAGCGTGAGCCAGAGGTTGCCTCACCCTGCCTCACAGCTGTACCAGTATTCCTCCCCACGCATCTCTTTCTGAGGATTTCCACCTTACCACAGAGGGGCTACAAGGTCAGATTATTGTAAGGTGCTCTTAACATTTGAGGAGTTTGAGCCATGACCCTCAAAAAGGTTTGGCTTTTGGAGCATTTTTTTATGTCATACATTCAAATTTGGGACATTCAACCAGTAAAGTTTATGCAAATATTTCAAAATCCAAAAACTTGGAAATCTGTAATACTTCTGGTTCTAAGCATTTCAAAGGGACACTCAACCTGTATCTCTTTCAGTTTTCCTGGGCAGAATGAAAAACAAGATGCAATTATCACCATTTTACAGATGAGAAAAACTAAGGCTCAGAGCACAGAGGCACTTACTCGGGGCACAGTAGTCTAGGTTTAATTCCAAAGCCCTGATTCTGAAACAGTGCATGCAGATGGCTCAATGGGAGGGATGTGTAGAGAAGACCTCCCACAAGCACCAGCATCATTTCAGCCTCCAAAAAAAGGAGACTGATGCCACTCTGGCTTCAGCCTACCCTTTACCTCACCCAGCCTCAGGCCTGACACCTCTCTCTAGTTCTTCTGCCACTTTGTCTGGGGAAAAAGAACTTCTGTCCACTGGCAGTAGCCGCCTCCTGTTCCACCCTCCCCTATGGAGCAGCAGTCTCCAAGGAACCTGTCAGAGCCCACGGCCATTTTGCATGCATAGACCTGAGAGAGTTTTTGCATTTTTTTATGATTTATTTTTGTAGACATATTTATTAGCTTGTCTGATGAGCAGACAGTACTCAGTGTATAATTGTTGAATGAATGAGTGAGTGAATGAATAAGCTAATGTCTCTGGAACCCCTGAGTAGGATTCCCTGAGTTTAGCATCAATAGAGTAATCCACAGGGGTTTTCTGCCATATAGATTGGATCAGCATGCAAGAAGGATCCAAAGAAGTGTCCCATAGATTCAGCTCTTTGCACACATCCTCCTGGGCATCTGAAGTCAGCACCCTCATCACCCCATTTTACAGAACAAGAAATGAGCTCAGCGACATCAAGAAACTTCCTCATGCTTACCAAGCTGGTCAGTGGTAGACTAAGTTTGGACCCTCCACTGCCAGTAAGGCTTTTTTCCCTCCACACACTAAATCATGCCAATAAAGAAAGCTCTAGAACTAACCCTAAGGACAAATTCCGGGCCTCAAGTGAAGCTGTGCTGAGAAAAGAGGGAGTCCACAAGGCCTCTGCTGCCCTGTTGAAGCACCAGGTTTAGCTACATTGGAGCTAAGCAGGATACACTTGTGCTTGTCCTCACTCCCTGCTGCTGCATACAAGCGCTACAATTCTAATATTTTTCATTGGCAGGCAATGCAGACAGATGCACAAAACTGACTTCACCGGCAGCCTTCTCTCAGAGGGAGTGGCCTGGATATACGTACTTCTCACTGCCTGTCCCAGGCTAGAAGTCCCACCGTAGAGGCCACATCCCATGGTATGTTACTGCATCTGGCTTTCAAGAGTCCCTTGTAAAAAGGAGGGAAGTGGTGGTTGGTCCACACTGACCATACGTGAAGAGGGCAGTTGAGGTCAGGTATGTGGAAAGGAGCTGCAGAGAACAGGGAAACAGGGAAGACCCTTCCACTTGCCTGGCAACTCTAGTCCGTGGCCAGATGACCCCTGCATCTGCCCTTTGCTTGAGCACATCAGTTTGCTGGGCTCCGTGTCCTGGATGGGCCCTTGGAGGAGAAAGATGGTTTAGGGGCCCATTGAGCAGTGTAGCGGCAGCTCTGGCCTACAGCTGCCTTGCCATAGGTGTTCAGTGTGGACCAGCCACCACTTCCCTCAGCTCGCCTAGCACTTCCTACTCCTGCTCCCAGATCCTTACACATGTGCCACCTTCGACGGGACTTCAGCTACCAGGACCTCCTTCTTAGAAGGCAGCAAGAGAATTAAAAACAATAAGGCTTTTTTCTGATATACGTAATTTATCTTTGGGTGAGAGGTGGGTTAGGGGTCATGGAGACTGACCCCAGGGCCATCCACATGCTAAACAAGAGCCTACAACTGAGTTACAGTTTTTATTTTTTTATTATTTCTTTTGAGACAAGATCTCACTAAATTGCCCAAACAGGGCTCAAACTTGCAATCCTCCTGCATCAGCCTCCTGAGTAGCTAGGATTACAGGCATATACACCTCCATGCTTATGCACGTATCACCTGAAGGTTTGAGGTCACAAGCTAGTGAGTGAGGGAAACTCACTCCCCAGCATCGTAGCCTGCAGGCTTCTAACCCTTGCCCTTGGCAGTGAGACCAGTAGGTAGACTCCACC